GGCGAGACATTACCCATAGGTAACCTTCGTCAAAAATAGTGATATTGTCGAGATCATGATTGATTACTAGGCATGGATCAAAACCGTGCACCTCCCATTGCTGGAGTCTGAGGTGGAGCTGGCGGTACATAGCCGAGATTGTCGAAGAAGGGTTTGTTTAGTGCCTGCGTCTCGGCAATTCGTCCTTGATTCGTGTACCTATCACCTTGGTAGTCGGGTAAATATCCGGGCTCGTTGTTAGAGCCTGAAGAGGCGGAAGGTCCTGAAGGGGTGAAAGGTTAGTAAATGAGAGGGTTATGCAAATGTTATGAATTTACACTTGGTAGTATTCACTTCTTCAATGCCAAATGGTGAGCGGCGATCACTGTTGTCTCAAAGTACAACTGTGAGATACAGTAGGTGCCAAGATTACCACCTCCAGATTTGCAACAATGCCACGAAAAAACCGCCAAAATATTTGATCATGTATTCACGTCGTAGAATACGATCAGTTTGCAAAAAACCAGATAGGAGTGTAAAGATCAAACGTAGTAGATGTACTACGTACAATTATTACATTACTCGCTTATTTAAGTCTTGTTAAAAATGGTATTATCGCTGGAATGTGGTTGAGGATTGGGAAAGGATAAAAACTGAGTACCGTAAGGCGATCCCCCATAACCAGCAGGGGGCATCGCTCCGCTCCCACCAGCAGAGGGCATTGCTCCGCTCCCACCAGCACTGCCGGTGCCTCCCATTGCTGGAGTCTGAGGTGGAGCTGGTGGTACATAGCCGAGCGTATCGAAAAATGGTTTGTTTAGCGCTTGCGTCTCGGTGATTCGTCCTTGATTCGTATAGCTATCACCCTGGTAGTCGGGTAAATATCCTGGCTCGTTGTTAGAGTCTGAAGGGGTAGAAGGTTAGTGTACGAGAGTATCACATCGCAGTATTCGATCAGGTAACATTTGTATTGAATCAGACGCAGAATTGAGTGCTTATGACTTTAAATGTGACATGATAAAATCTGTCTCAATTGCAGCGTCCCTTTCACATGCATCTACGCATCTGCAGCGCGA